TCTTAATCCCTTCACCTTTTTTGGCCATTTCCCCAACCTCCTTACCATCTGGCAACCATCAAAAAGTTCTCTACATCTATGCATTTGTTTCTGTTCTGTTTATTTTATTCATTTGGTTTGTAGAGTCAATTGTTGATAGATATGTATTTATTACCATTTTACTGTTCATATTTTTTATATTCTTCTTCAAGAAGACCCTTCAAATTTTCATATAATACTGGTTTCATGGTGATAAATTCCTATAGCTTTTTCTTGTCTGGGAAGCTCTTTACATACCCATCAATTCTAAATGATAGCTTTGAAGGTTGTAATAATCTTTGTTGTAGTTCCTTGCTTTTCGTCACTTTGAATATTTCTCACCACTTTCTTCTGCCTACAAAGTTTCTTTTGAGAAATCAGCTGACAGTCTTACTGGAGTTCCTCGGTAGGTAACTAACTGCTTTTCTCTCGCTGCTTTTAAGATTCTTTTGTCATTAACCTTTTGCATAATTATGATGTGTCTTGGTGTGGGCCTCTTTGGGTTCAACTTTTTGGGACTCTGTGTTTACTGTATGTCTCTTTCCTTCACCAAGTTAGGGAAGTTTTCTTTCATTATTTTTTCAAATATGTTTTCAATTTCTTGCCCTCTCTTTCTTTCTGGCACCTCCATGATGAGAATACTGATACACTTGAAGTTGTCCCAGAGGCTCCTTAAACTAGCCTCATTTTTTGGATTCTTTTTTCTTTTTCCTATTCTGACTGGGTGTTTTTTGCTTTCTTATATTCCAAATTGATGGTTTAATTCTCAGCTTCACCTACTTTATTGTTGATACCCTGTAAATTAGTCTTTATTTTAGTTAGTGCATCCTTCATTCTGACTGGCCCTTTACAATGCTCTTGGTGTCCTCACTAATTTTCTTGAGCATTCTTATAAGCAGTGTTTTGAACTCTGCATCTGTTAGATTGCTTATCTCCATTTCATTTAGTTCTTTTCCTGGAGTGTTGTTCTGTTCTTTCATTTGGGACATGTTTCTTTGTCTCCTAATTTTGGCTGCCTCCCTGTGTCTGTTCCTATGTATCAGGTAGAGTTGCTACATTTCCTAGGCTTGGTAGATAGGCCTATTGTAGTAGGTGTCCTGTAGGGTCCAGTGTATCCCCTTCCAGGCACAGCCTGCCTGATCACGCCAGCTGGGCAATCGAGATGTATCCCCCATGTGGACTGTACACTCTTGTGTTGTAATTGAGTCTTGATTGCTGTTGGCATATCAGTGGGAGGAATGAGCTGCAAGGACTGGCTGTGCCCACTGACCACTGACCTCTGACCACCTTGGAGAATCAGCTGTGCAAGGACCTACCACACAGAACAAGACTTACTTCAGCAAGGCTCTGGTACCCACCAAGCCCACACCCTGAGAGAGCTGCTTGTGGAGGTGGTTTGGTGGTGGTGCTTTGACATGGTGTGAAGCTGTCCACTGGGTGTGCAGGCTCTGGGCCTCCCAGAACATGCAGGCCAAAGTCAGTCACTGCCTGTGTTCTACATGGAGCCACCAGGCCTAAGCTACAAAGGGATCTGCAGATGGCTGCTTCTTGTGCTGGGCTTAGAGATGCCCAGAAAAGGCCAAATTGTGAACCAAGGCTGGCTGCTCCTAATGCCGGGCATGGGGACACTTAGTGAGAGGTATGGAGCTTGCTGAGGCCAAATGCTGCTTTTTTGAGAGAATTTAGGAAAATCTGAAACAGGAGCCAAGACAGGGCAATCCTATGGTAAAGCCACTGGAAACAACTTGGGTGGGCTCAAATGTTGGGTGGGGCGGGGCATCAGGGAATCACCAGGGCAGGGCAAACAGTGTGAACCAGGTTGCTGGAGTCCCAGATATGGCACCTGCCTGCTGGTCCCGTGGGGGAAGGCTCACCAAAGGAACAAAGGCCTCTACCAGCACCTGTGTCTGGGAAAAAGCTGCCCGTCCAACTCCTGCCCTGATGTCAAACAACTCAGTTCTTCCCCATATGTCTCTGGTGCCTTTCAAGCTGCCTCCCCCATGCTGTAACCCAGAAGAAGTGAGTCTGAGTAAGTGCGTGTATGGACCCTTTAAGAGAAGCTGCCGGGGTCTCCAGCAGCCTCAACCTCCCTCAACCTCAGTTCCCACTGGTTTTTACAGCCAGAAGTCATGGGGACGTCTCTTCCTGGCACTGGAACCCTGAACTGGGCAGTGTGGTGTGGGATGGGGACCCCTCACTCCTCAGGGAGGACCTTCCCAGCCGAGGTACCCTCCTGATTTTTATCCTCCACATGTGGGTGTGGGACCAGCCCATCTGTGCCTCTGCCCCTCCTACCAGTCTCAGTGTGGCGGCTGCTTTAATTTCATAGTTGTAGGACTTCCACTCAGCTGGATTTCAGGTGGTTCTGAGTGATGGCTATTTTGTAGTTTAGTTGTAATTTTGATGTGGTCGTGGGAAGAGGCAAGACCGCGGTTAGCTGCACTGCCATCTTGACCGAAATCCTAAAACTTAGTACCTTAAAATGAGTAATTTATTATTTCTCAAAATCCTTCAGGTTGATTGAACCTCTGACGGTTCTGCTAGTTTCCTGTGGGGTCATTCCTTTGCAGTCAGATGGCAGCTGGGGTTGGGACATCCAAGATGGCTCAGAGGGGACATTCAGTGAAGCTGATTTTGAAAAGAGCTCAAAACCTCAGCAACCGACTCTAATTTGTAGTCACTGTGAATGTAATTGTGAATTTATCTGGTAAAGGTATAATATCTCTTACTTTACATGTGCTTCTCTGAGAGAACTGGTCAGAAACAATGAGTTTGAAGTATGGAACTCCTGTAGAAGCGTCACTGCATCAAATGCATTACATGCAACTGCCCTGCACTGAGCTGCTCGTGGTATCCGGACCTTACCCACTTCACTTAAGAGAAGAGAATAAGTTATTTTTTAGGAAACAATACAAAACCTGAGTTCATGGCTTAGGTCTCAAAAACAAAAACAAACAACAATAACAATTTTAAAAAACATAGGTAATTTAAGACAATAGGTGATGCTTCTTTAATTTCTTCACTTTCACTAGCAACACTTTAAATCAAAAACACAAGTTGGTGATTTAAAGCACAGGTTGCGGTGAGTCTTATCTCCTTTCTTTTCCGTTGTCTTTGCTCCGGTGTGAAGCCTGTCAACATTCGAGTGGGGAGGAGCGGGGGCGGGGGCAGAAAGAGGCTGAGAGACTAGTATCGGGAAAGCCACACAAAACATTTCTCTGATTCATCTTACATCGACGGAATACATGACAACAGTGTCAAACCCCAGCTAAGAGCTTCCTCGGAGCCCCTTCATTCAGTCTGTCTCCATTCAGACATGAAAACGCATTTAAAGCAACGGTTCTCAGGGTGTGGTCCCTGGACCCACAGCAGCACCATGGCCTGGGAACATGTTACAAATTCTCAGGCTCCACCCAGACCCACTGAATCAGAAACTCTGGGGTGGGACCCATCAATCCCCGTTTAAAAAATTCTCCAGATGATTCTGATGCTCACTCAAGTTTCAAAATCACTCAAGTCTGAAAACCAAGATATACTCTTCCCATGTAACTGGCGGCCCGCATTCTCTCATTTACCATGGAGCTGACTTCAGATCCCCCTCTCTGGGGTGAGAAGCACCCGTGACCAAGTGCATGAACACCGGAGGGACTAGTGCATGCCAGCCTGGAGAAACGGGGAGACGTGGCCAAGATCTTCTCTAAGCTTCAAAGAACACAGTGGGTACAGGAGCACAACACTTAGATTCCATTCCAGCGCTCTCTGAGCACCTACCATGCATCATGGCTGTGCTAAATGAAATGATCTTGTTTCCCCTTTCCAGGAATAAATAAATCTATTAGTATGTGTTGAGTATACAGAGGCCTGACATTAATTAGAGTGGAGTCAAACCCGCAAACAAGCAGAAACACTTTATAATTCTCAAATTCTCACTCACAGGCATGAACAGCATGCTTTGAATGCTGAGGCACTTGCACATAAATGCTCCTTTTGCCTCTTCATTGTTAATTCATCTAAAACTTTATCACATATCACAATTAGAGTACCAGGCTGCTTATACAAAACCATGTATACTATAGTTTTAAGCGAACATAAGGAAACTTGAGGTAATTCTGAATTATCCAAGGTCTTATGTTCTCTCAGATGTTAAAAATCAAAGTCCAACAAATTTCATAAGATGCAAATCTACTATTCTCATTTATTTTAGGCTTTGCTTCTCTCTTAATTATTCTGCCCTTTCCACTATGAAGACCATTCTCTTTGATGTAGACAATAAAAACTCAAGGAAAATAAGTAATTCTGAAATCCCCTGCTATCTCTTAACCCTACATTATTTGCCCTAAACTAGAAGTAGCACGTGCTCCTGCAAAAGTGCCCTTTCTTCCATCCTGTGCCCAAGGCAGACATTGCTAATCCATCCTGTGCCCATGGCAGACATTGCTAATCCATCCTGTGCCCCTGGCAGACATTGCTAATCAATCAAGGAACTCTTACGCAGAGCTTGAGAATTACTCTCAAGGCCTCAGGGTCCTTCTCCATAGCATTTCAGGCAGACATTTCCAACCAATGGGAGTACATATGACTGATAAAGTATGTGTATGTCACTGGCTCCTTTCTGCAGCTCTAAACCCCTCCTTTTGTTGTTCTCAGAACAATAACATTAAAGCTTCAGTGTATCTTGAGCTGCAGTCTCTACAAATCTATGCCACCTTAAGGGCTGTAATCATGTTGGATTGTGCTGAGCAGTTTAAGCAATTTAAGTGCAGTTGTAACCCAGCACATAGTATAAAACTGCTCTGAAAATCAAAGAACCAAGTAAATAAAAATACAGAACAGATCATGAAACACCTGTGAGACTGTCCCCTGTGCATGTAACTGGGAAATGCACAGCACGAATAGCCCAGGACGGCAACTGCATTAAACCAGGCTCACAAGCATGAATGAGGGCCTGAGTGACCAATTCTGGTTTGGCTTTGGGTACTCACTGATGGTTCCTTACTCGGCTGAGGGGGCACCACACTGCTCCTTTAGCAGCATCTCCATGATTCTAATTCCCTATAGAGAGAAGAAAGAAATATCAAAATTCCATATTTCACAAACAAGTGCTTTCATATTTATCACAATCCTTCCCTTCAAGGAATCCGGGTCATGGCCATATATTCATTTCAGAAAAGTAGACTCATAGTCACGTCACACATTTTTCTAATCTTCTGCTCATCAGTTTCACACACAGTATCTCCACATGTGCTCCGGACTACTCAGGGAGTAGGGAGTTTAGTATCTCCACTTCGAACGTAAGAAGACAGTTCAAGAGAAGCCCAGTAACTTCTTGAAAGTGGCGCAGCCATGGGGCACTGCCAGAGCTGGAATAACAGTGGCAATTGTCACTATTAACTGAACACTTACAAAGGTACGACATTCACAGCTCAGGTTTATGTGCATTATCCTGGGTAGCGGGTGCTGGGAGCACCGATGGCATCTGCTCCGGGACCCAGGCGTCCCTTCTGCTCTCTGCCAGCGCTGTCGGCTGCCCATGGCACAGAGCCACCCTCTCGGCCAAAGCAAGCTGCCTTACCTGAGGTCATGACCCCTCTCTGGGGCAGCCCACATCCAATGACTGGTGGATACAGGGGTCTGTCTAAAGACCTGGCCCCCTGCCCTCAATTTGGGACAACTCTGAGGGGCATCCCATCTCCAGCTCCCCATGGGATCAGCCGAGACCTGCATCACAACGTCATCACGGTTCAGCATCACCTGCGGCCTAATCCTGTTCTCCTCGCTCCCTCACAAGGTTGTCCCTGGGTGTGCTCTTCAGTAACCCTCTGCACCCAGATCTCCACCTCTCAGTGCGTCCTGACATCTGACCTACGACACCTCGTTTACTACACACGAAACCCTGAGTAAGTACTAATCTTACCCCCATCTTTCTGATGAGGCAATAGAAACTCAAAGAGGTTTAAGTGATTTGCCCCAAGTTATACAACTATTAAGTAATAAGGTGGGGAAAGAACACAGGCATTCTATTCTGCTTCAGGGGCCATCCCTTCACCTTCTCATGATGCTCATCCCATACTGTATATTTCAAGCTGTCTACCCACCTACCTTGGCCAGTCAAGTCAACCTAGAGGAAACAGGAACACAGATATTCCCTCTTTCTTCTCAGAAGACCAGAGGAGAAGCCACCAGATGGAAAGACAGCTTTATGATGTAACTATGAACCAGGGTCTTAAGGAGTCAAAGCTGGATCCAGGGGCATGGGACACACAGTTCTCAGGGACTGGAGAACAGTGTGGAGAGCATACTGATGATCAAAGCCAACTGAAAATACAGGTTACCAGGCCCCTTGCAGGAAGACTTGGATTTAATGGGACTTCAGTAACAAGAGCCCAGATGATTCTCATGATCAGGTGGGGCTGGGAAACACTGAGTGGCCTAGAAGACAAAGTAAGCGACTTCCTATTTGGGGTCATTGTGAGCTGCGGAGGGGAATACATCTCTAGAGAAGACGATAAAACAGATAGGGGTTGGCAAAGGAGGTTTACAGTTTTGAGAACATGAAACACCGAGTTTATCTTTGTAGTATCATTTATTTATTACTGTATTATTTATATGTATTACAACTGTAAATCTCCTCTTGTCCACCGCTATATTTTATATCAAAGTACACGTAACAAAATGCCAATGTTTTCTTAAAAATTTCAGAAGGTCCTTCAGGCTCTGGCTGGCTATCACCACAAATATCACCATTTTCTTGGAAGGAAGAAGCGTTCATTAAAAGATCTTGACACAGGGCAAGGACATGGAGTGGTGGCTGAACCAAAGCAGAAAACTGTAGGACCAGGGGCACTGCCGTCAGTCAGGAGACCTGGGTCACAGCTCTGCCCATCCTCCTGGGCCCTACGGGCCAGTCACCTGTCCCGAGAAGTAACTGAGACCTGAGAGCTCAGGGGACTGCAAGGCTCTGGACAGTGCTCTCCACACCCAGCTGCTCGTGGCAATTCCTAGGAACCCACAAAAGCAAATACTGAGGCCCAAGCCCATCCACACTGACTCAATCACAACTTCCAGTGCTGGGGCCTGGACTCTGTAGATTTATAACAAATCTCACGTGGTTCTGAGACACAACCAGAACATTTACTCAAATGTGTGAGGCAGCTTGCCATCACTTCCAAGATTCCTTCTAACTCTGCCAGTCTGGGAATTGGTGAACTAGTTCTCTTTAAACACGTCTGAACATTCAGTATATACAGCAATCTTGAACTTCAGGGCTATTCTCCTGTAAAGAATTGGGGTGGGGGGAGAGGGACAGGGGCTGCAACAGTCAGTGGAGTGAAAGTTAACCTAAGACTAGGATTGTTCTCATTTCTTCTCTCATTCATCCAACCACAGATCCAGCCAACAAATCTTTATTGTGCAGCTACAATGCGCACTGGTGATCAACAGTGAACAAGCAAGTCAAAGTCCCCTGCCCTCATTTAGCTAGCAGATTTCCTTCCCCAGACTCAATTTTTTTTTATTTCCAAAAACTCCCAGACAATAATGTCTTCCTTCTATTTTCAGGAAGATTAGAAACTGCCATGTTAATTCTGTTTCAAACTTTGTTTTGCGCACCAGGCACCTAAATCAAGACAGTATGTGTTTAAAACTAGAAAAGCACACTCCTTCCTTAGGAAGTAAGCTCTATGGACTCTCCCCATCCGTCTAAATTAGGAATCACCACTTACTGAGTTGAACACTAATTGACATAGTGAAGACTTTGAGGTTTGCCTGGGGAATTGTGTTTGCAATGTGACAGTTGATTTTTCTTCCCCTTTTCCCCCCTCTCCCATACCACTTTAGTCTTTTTAAGCAGAACAGTTGGAAATAGAAGGTGGATAATGGGGTCAGAGAGAGAGAGAGAGAGAGACCTATAAAGTGAAATTAGAAAGAAAAATAAGCCCTAGCAGGGAGGTCAAACTATTTAGTACCTCTGTTTAGGAAAGAAAGACCAAATCAAAGCCCAATCAATACAGTCCTTTCAAATAAAGTGCTAATACTTAAAACTCAACCCCCAGAATATCAGGCTTAAAGGGACTAAATTGACACCACTTATCACACAGTGAAGCCTAAAATGCAGAACATTAAGTAGATTCACCTTTACAGGTGTGGCTTAAAAGCTTTGGGGACTAACAAACCATAGACCAGCTTGATTTTATTATTTCTTTCCCTCGGAGAATTTTTTCCTCAGTTACAAGGCTATCGCTCTCTACTTGCCAAGAGACAGGTAAGTGGCCTCGTTCAGTCTTATTTCCCTAACACCAGGGCTGTGATGGCCAAGTGCATCCCCACAGAGGAGACCCAGTGTCTTCCAGATCCAGGACACTGCACACATTCCCACTACGAGGCTCTGATAGCTGATTCTTACGGAAAATGAAAAGCTTGTCTCAAGAGGAGGAGGAATAAGTTAGAACTAATGTGGACAAATCAAGACAGTATATTTATTTTATCATATTGATGCTTCCTTTAGAAGCTCTTATTTACCTAGGAGGCCCTAAAGAGAGTAATATTAGACTTTATGAAAATTACAACATTCTAAAACAGTTCTCAAAAGACACATCTATGAAGGCACTCTTAACAAAAAAGAAGTTTTCACTTAATTATCACAATGGTAAAAGATGGATGTTAGAGACCCCCAGTGGAAATAATGCTTTCCTATGGGTCACAGCTTAGGGGAAGGAGGGGCCCTTGTGTGTAAGGGACTGCACTGATGCTGAGCAACAGGCAGGCCTACAAAACATGAAGCCTCTACTCAAGGGGTCATTAGTCTCTTGTGAGGTAACAGAGAAATACAAAATAACTGACATGCAAGACAGCCTCTGAGCAGGGCTACCATGTTTAAAAGAAAATAGTTCAATGGGAGAAGAAAAGTAGAGACTTAATCTTGTGGGAAGAGGGGACTTGCAGGAGCCACTGGAACAGGAAGGATCTGAGTCAGACCCAAAGTCTGATTATGAGTGTGACATACAGAGATGAAGGGAAAGACCAAGCAGAGGGAGGCTTAAGAAAAGGTGGGGGCGGGGGGAGTGGACAACAGTGTGTGTGTACTTGAGCAACTGCCTTCCTGAAGGGTGAGAAGGGACTGGGGGCGATACATTTCCAACGTTTCCACTCTCCCCATTCTCCTCCCTACACACACACCCTTCCTCCCACCTTAGCTCTGCTCTTTCCTGGAGGAGTCAACAGCACTTAAAACACCCCAGTATTGCCACAGGTGGCACTGTGCTTATGCGGTGACACTGCTAGAGAGATTAGGGTTGAGTCCAAGGCTGTGCAACCTTGGGCATTTGGCTTAAATTCTCTCATCTTCGACTGCCTCATCTTTAAATGGAAATGATAATATGGGCTTGTCCTAAGAATTAGTTAAAATAATGTGTAATCTGGTTATCACAGTACCTAGTTTCTGATAAACACTGAGAAAATTAAGAATGGTTCTTCATCCGAATCTCTTTAATAATCATCAAATTCCATTACAAAGGGGCTTGTCTGTCTTATTCAAGTTGTATGCACTAGAAGAGCAATGCTGGTACATTGAAGGCACACAGTGAATGTCTACTGGATGAATGAACCTATCAGTCAGCCAATCAATCATCAGCTCACAGGCCTACCACATTAGATGATAAAGTGCTCAGACGCAGGGAACAGAAGTTACTTACATTTCAGTTCTTGCTTTCTAGTGCAGAATCCAGCACACAACAGGTGCTCAAAACTGATGGATTATAAAACTAATCAACTGATTGCTTTTGAATGCCAGGCTGATACATTGAAATTTGAGAATCATAGTGCATCTGCCCAGTAGTTAGCATTCTTGAAAGTGTGAATGAAAAGGTCAGAATACCAAGGGTTGCCATGGGAAATGAAAGAACAAAACAAGGAAAGAATAAAGAATGCAAGGGTGAAAAATAGAAAGGAGGGAATGGATGGTGGAAAACACTGACAATAAAGTGAGGCTTAAAATGGGTCCTGAAGACTCTGGGTTAGTCAGGAGGAGTTTAGAAAGTGTGATAATTTCAGGCACT